GAGGGGAAGCGGCGTGACTCTACCAAACATGGCGAGACGGCGGCGTCAGGGAGGCCATCTTGACTAAGGGTACCAGGTGCAGCGTTGGAATGGAGACAAATGGGATGCCCCTACTAAATGGGGGGGGGGCGTCGACTTCCTGCACTGGCATGGGTCGGCCTGCTGGAGGGCGAGGGAGGCGGCTTATCTCTCCGGGTGCTCGGCGGCTTTGGAGGGTGCTGTCATGTTCAGCAAGGAGGGTTGTCTTCCTAAGTGTAGAAACTCCTGCAAAAAAGCTATTAAATACAAAATTACTAGTAATACAGACACGTTTTTAAAAAATAAACTGCGAGCTCCAAGTGACCTCGTCTTTGGGTTCTCAGTCCCCTTGTCAGGCCAGGGTCACCTTCCGCAGACTCTGGGAAGCACAGCACCCAAGCTGTGAGCAGGTGTGGCTGGAAACTGAAGAGGACCAAGGCAAAGTGTTAGTTTGGTGCTCCCTGAGGACACGCACCCTTTGACAGCACATCTCCCGCTATTCACACTGCTTAGTGTTTTCTTTCAAATATGCCTGACCCTGGTAAATTGGCTTTTCACCCCTCACTGTTCCCAGAAAAGATGTGGGAGCCAGATTTACCCTCACAGCTAGCTTGAGGCCACAGTGGTTCATCAACCATGAGGAAATTTGTACCCCAGACTGCTGGGAAAACCCCAGTACCCAGATCTTCTGGTGAGGAATGATTCAGGGATGGCCACAATATCAAAAAATGCAACATGCTGCCTGTGGATTTTTGATAGAGGTTTGACAAAGTCTGACTTGCCCTAGAAAGCCACCTGTGTCTTGAATCTGGGCAAATAAATTCCCTCTTTCTTTGCTTCCTTCTCTTGTTGCTTCCTACATTCTCTTCTGAATTCAAAGAGGCAAAGCTTGCTCCTAGTGAGACCAGTGACATGAATCCTCCACTGCAGCTTCAAGTAAAGCCACGTAAGTGCATTTGTCCTAACTGAAAGTATGTGCATAAATCCATTGCTGAATGCTGCGAACTTTCAGACATACCTCTAGGGGCAAAGGCACTGTAGTGAAACATCCTGACTCACTTCTAAGAGTCTGCATGCTTTCCTTCAATTCATGTAGTGGTTAACCTATAAATATTCCTCAGTCTTCTGCATGAGCATCACTTCATCTTTGCTTGTAGGAAATTAATGCTCTGCGATCAAGTTTGCTCACCCATGCACCAGGGGTTTTCCTGTTATCTCTTTTAAATGCAACAGAAACCTATGTTTTGAATATTTTGTATTAAAAATATTTTATTTTTTTATTGTCACCTAATGATACAGGTGGCATTGGCTCCTACCAGTTAACTAGCACAAGAAACATAAAAGCTGGTCAAACTGTAGAGCTTAAATTGCCTGTCAAGGCTCTCTGTTGTGACCAACCAGGGTGATGTTTGTTCTTTCTACTCTATGAGCTACGTGGGACACATCTTATGTTTTTCTTAGCTATATGAAGGTTTTGGTAAAACCATGCATAGGAAATGTGGCCAACTTTGATATATCATAAGCAATTAGGAATACGTTTTAAACAATACTGCACAGTCTACAATGATATGCTTGGCTATAAAAAAAAGAAAGGGGCAATCTCTTCTCAGCCTTCAAGCAGTCTGTGCTAAGAGTTTGTTTACACTAGAAATAGCAGTAAGTTAAACAAATAATTGAGAAGAGAAAGACAAGGTTTTCAACTCTGTGCCCCTCAAGATACTTCAACAGGCCCTGACAGTGTAAGAAGCTCCAATGAAATTGCCCTTGGTCTACTGTAGAGTTTGGATCCATCAGCAGTCCTTCCCTTCCCTGTAAAAGGACAGAAGGAATTGGCTGACACATATAGACTAGAACTGTGTAAGTGCACAGATAGAGGTCATTTTCAGAGTACTGAATGCCACAGGGAGACTGGTATTATCCAGGGAATGCTTGAGGAAACTGCTTTAACCAAGTGCCATTAATTCCTTCTTCCCAGGGTAGAAAAGGTGCATTTTCTATTGGAGCATCTAACAGTGGGGAGCAATGTTTCAGGTCCAAAACGAAACAAAATGAGATGCTATCTGAGCTGAACATTAATATTGCCTTCCCAGCTTTCTAACATAAGGCAAGTTGTGTGCTCTGCAGGGGTTAAATTTGCTTTTGTAAAATTTGAACACAAGCAGAAGGATCACAAATTCAGTGGAAATAAGAAAGTAGAAGAATGCTACCTATGCTAAAGTGTATAAAATTCAAATTACTATTATAATTAATGTCCTTGTCCTGGTTTAGTGGGACAGAATTTTAGAGTCAGTTTTCTGTTGAGGAAAACTGCAATTTTGTAAGGGCTGCAACACTATTTCATGGGAACAAAGTTGATAAAAATTTCAGCTCATACTGGTATGCAGGTTGCCATAGTGCTCCAGGTCTTCAAGGTCTTGAGATAAAGTTGCAGAGGTGGGGAGAGGAACGGAAACCTAGGGGAGTCAACCCCAAGGTGACTCCAGGCTGACCAATTAATACTATTCATACCATAAACATCACATTCACTATAAATTGAGGAGCTTGCTGAGGACGGCCCTTCCTTCTTCCTCCTGCTCCCTGTTTTCTATGACTGACATCTCAAGAGGGGCTTGTTTACCATCCTAACCCTGAGGCCTATTCCCCCACAGTATTGTCTGAGTAGAACTCTGTGTATTTTGTAACTGTTATTAATATATATTTAATTAAAAAAATAAACATATATCTATTTAAACCCACAAATCTCCTTTCCTTTTCCTGACCCCACTCCCCAGATAGAGAGGAAGCATCAGGTGACAGAGCAACTGTATAAACCACAACAGCCCTGAGACTCAGGACCTGCTCTCCAAGCAGTATCAGTAAGAGACAAAGCAAATCTGCTCTTCTGGAGCTGCTGGTTTATCCTTCATTTTACATCTTCCTCATATAGCCATATCTCAAAAGCAAAGCACAGCGCCTTACTAGGACCCAGGGCTTCACATCTATGCTGTGCCCACCCTACTAGTATTAATTAAAACGCTGAGCAACAGTTGTGAGTTTGCAAGAGGAGCAAAATCCTAAAGCCCAATGTTTCTAGAGCAAGTAACTAAAGTAAAAGCTTTCCCATTCTGGTTTCCTGGAAAAAGTGCAAGCTTGCTCAAAAAGTGAGACACAGGGAAAAACACTGGCTACCTACCTAAGCCCCAACTTGTTTTTTGTTTAATAGCTGAAAGTGGAGAATGCTTTGAGCTTCACTCCCCCTCCTCCCCACTTCCTCCAAGGATCTCCTGAAGAGTGTGCCGTTTTAAGAGCGCTCTTTCCGGAGCCCTAGAGTAGCCATACCAGGAGAAGACAGAAGATGGCACTCGAACAGTACCAGATGAACAACGATCACGCTTAACACCTCCAACCCAGGCGAGAGTTACAATCAGAGTAAATAAAACAAAACCAGGAAAAAAACTGAACAGCCACGGGGTTTTCATTACCAAAGCTTCAAGTTTGCCATTAATGTTAATATTTTAAACTTTGGACTGTAAAGGCTAGACATGTTAAACAGTACCTGCTAGATGTACTCTCTCTCGGTTCACGATACAGCCTGGTACTGTAGTTAATGTTTCCCTTGGAAATAAAAAACAATCTCGCACTTGATTCCTTGTGAAAATGGCGTTTGGGTGTGACCCCCCTCCCACTGGCTTTTGTGCAGCCGGTTACCACTCGTGAGGAAACCCCTCAGAACCACCTGGCAGATTCACAGCAGGGTCTGCACACCCAGGGGCTCACAAAAACAGGACTTAGCTCTACAACCCAGGAGGTCCCTGGTGGTCCTGCAGCAGCTGAACCGAGATCTCTTGTATGAGGCTTGCATGAAGAAATGAGCAGCTCATGCTTCCAAGTGATTATCCATGTTTTTAGCGTTGACTTTAGCTCTCAGCTTTCTACACAAGTGTTTTCATAGGACTGGAGCTAGTCTTGTAGCTTCCTCAAAACGTTACATTTAATATCAGTTTGTAAAGGGGACAGCTTTTCCTCTAATTCATTTATAAATCTATCAGATTGCTGTTTTACAGACAGGAAAGTAAAATTGCTTTACTTTTCCCTATACACATGGGGTTTTTTCCAAATTTAAGACATCTTGTTGCAGCTGCCACACTAAGAAGCTTCAGAGACCACAAAGCTCATCTAAACCAGATAAACCCAATACAAGTGAGCCAGAATTTAAAGAGCTTAATAAACCAGCTCTATACTTCCTAAAGCTGTTCACTGACAACAAGCATTCGCTCCTTTTTCTTCTTGCCAAAGAATATGGTTATACTACATGAACTGACATACCTGCATGATAAAGACATGTTGTTTTCCTGAAAACTATCTTCTAGCTGCAGTAGAGCACAAACAACCGTGTTATCTCTGCAGCAGCAGGATTCAGGACCCCATTGTATTAGGTCCTCTTTGAAGGCAGGAAGACAAAGGCAACCCCAGCCCCACACCCCAGTGAAAATACCTTTGGCCACATAACAGATGTCTGAAGCTGAGGTTAAGGCTCCCTCCGGTGAAGTGAACAGTGTTTTCCTCAGGCTTCAGTGGCTGAGTGGTTAAAAAGGGGCAGAAAGAGAACAAACAGCTGATCATTTCACCCCCACATCTCTTTTGTAAGAGCTCTTCTGCCTCTTTAGAGATATGCATCCCTGTCACCTCCAGACAACACTGCAACAAAACAAAAGCCGGCTAATTCAATCAAACTCCATCAGGGGACATGCCAGCTTATCAGCACTACTTGTTTGCTCCAGTCTGAGACAACATGCCTAGCTGCTCCCAAACAAGGAGCCTTTGCCTCTGTATCTGTACTCTCCATGTATGCGACAGGAACCTTTTTTTTTTATTATTCTTTGTACAGCACTTACCATCATTAGCCTTCTGTCCACAACACACACTGAGTAGGAAAACAGGAATCAAGTAAGATTTGAATACTTATATATGGGATACAGAGGGCTTTTAGAAGGTGTGATCTCCTGGACAGTATCGATATTGCTGATGTAAAGTCTTCTACTTTTATTAGGCAAACTATCTCCCAAAATCTATGTTTGCCCACCATAGACTACTCACGGTCAGATTACCTGGCATGCTGCTAACTCAGCTGTAGAGGTGTTTGACCATTGCCCTCCCAAACCGTGTCCAGGAGGGCTTACTTTCAAACAGGCCATTTTGAAACTAGCTAGATGTTACAGGTCCAGTGTTGCGTTTTACCCACTGTTTACCAGTGCTGAGAGGCTATCAGGAAGATACTGAGGAGTTGTGTAGGGATCCAGCCTGGATGCAGCAAGATTAAGCCACAGGGAACAAGTTGTACTGGGACAAGATTGTCTCTGCCCAGTTCATGTGTCTGTTCTGCCCTGCCTGCTTGAACTTCATTCCAGCCCTCTGTTATGCTGGATGGTGGAAGAGAAAATGTTTACTTCCCAAGTGGGATTTTAACCTACATTTTCCAAAGGCATTATCACCCCTCTAATACTGTCAGATGGACCAGCAATAGCCAGAGAAAACTAGATGCAGCTCTCTCTTGAAAGGTCCATAGCCCGGCATACCCTGGGCATGAGGCTTACGACACCACCACAGACTGTATGTTACTGCCAAATCATCAATCCAAAGCTGCACAGAGGAGGAGACAGAGAGGTCACATTTAAGTAAAACATAAACTGGCTCCACATCACAGGAAAGTAAGATTGTGCTTTCTGAGGATGTGCCAGCATCATGCCTTTCTCACATCACAAATCAAGGCCAGAGGCCATATTTATGCGCAAACAACTGTCATTGGCATCTTTTTCAACCCTGAATGTATTCAGATAAAGTCTTTCCCTGTACCACCAGGCCAGAGGAACTCCTTCTTGTAGAAAACACATCTTCCCAGAATACTGCCACTCAGAATTTCAGCTGACCTATCCATGTAGGTGATGCAGCTGCTAGAACACATCAACACAGATTTGATCATAATCCCATAGATGTCAGATGAAGGAATAAATGTAACAGATGCATTACCAGGCAATGGCAGCAGTGGAGGAAATGAAGCGCAGGTGTACATGAGCAAGTCAGGGGTTTAATGATAAATTATCAGGTAAGAAAGATAAAGAACCAGAGAGTTATGTTTGACATATTTAGGGTGTTTGCCGCATCAGATTCTAAGTCTTCAATTTGATGGTAGCTACCGTGGGAGAAAAATGTCAGCTTTAGGACTCAGGCATCCATGAGTAGCATTAATCTGAAAGCAAAGTTTGGGATCTCATTCTCGGCACACTCATTAGCAAGTTTTTCTGATCAGCTAATGACTTTTTTCCTCTGATTCAGAATAAGCATCTGTGAAGTATTTGACACAATCCTTAGAAGCAATGCATCACCACCCAGCTGTTCTGTGGCACTTTTCAAGTCACACATCCAAGAATGGATCTACATTTCCACTCCAGCCTTGATCTTCAGTGCTGACTCAATTTCCAGTCCACTCTTAGCAAATGTTATGTTGCTGCTTTGTTTCATTAAAAATCAAAGTCACTCCATGTCCTGAAGTTGCTCACAAATTTGGAAGTCCATTTTTAAAAAAGCCGCTTTGTCACCTTGGCTGTGAAGCACAAATCCAGTTTACAGTTCTCTTCCCCTTTAAAACCCCAGCCACTCTGTCATATAAATACAGTTTGATGGAGAAATCTCACCACCTTCATGGCAATCATCAAAAACCTGCAAAAGAAAGCCCTGTGTTAGTAATTATACACAGCAAGCAACATCTAAGTGGAAGCTTCTTCCTCCAGTAGAAAAGCAGTAGTCTAAAAGAGGCCAAAATCTAGGAAGCCAGCTCTGAGGAAGAGTAATATAAACACAATAATGCAAAACGGACCTCACTGCAGTAAATAATGCAAATGGACACACTGGCAAGTTTTATGCACATATCAGTTTACAATCAAAGCAGGTGAGACGAAAAGCTAGGCCAAAATAAGTTAGCTTGCTAAAAGCCATAAATAGGGAAACTTAGCATCAGAAAATGTAATAATGTAATTTGGAACAGGTTACACTTGACAGCACCCTTTCACATACAGTCCAATAAAGGGACAACATATGAATGGGAAACATCCTGGTCTAAAACGAACCTGCCTCTTACACCATAGCTAAACACCACAGGTGATACTCGTAAGCTTTAGTCAGCATAGAAAGCCAAAAACATCACTCATGGGCATAACCTTGCCATGTGTCAGCTGGCCATTTGCAGGATTGTATTCAGAATTTGCATGCACCCTGTGTTCGCATACAGCTCTAGTTACTTACAGGGCAGAGTCCACAGGGTGTCCTGACTAATCCAGTGGGTTGTATGAGAGGACTAACGGCTCTGTACAGCTTCATCTGTCCATCCACGCTGCCTACTGTCCCTTCCTTTGCAGCAATTATAGTCATCTCCACTTTTCCATCATATATGAGTGTATTTAAAATGGTTTCAATGTCTTCCATTGACAACTCTACCTAAGAAACAATTTGTAATATAAATATTAGAAAAGATGCATGCCAGTAAGTCCCACGAGAAGGAAATGAGCAAACACCATGAGTAACAAATCCTTAGAGTTCTAACCTAGCCCAGATAAAGGCACTGCTCTCACTGGGCACTTTATGGGGTTGTGCAGATACAGAAATAAAAGCAAATACCAATACCTCCTACCTCCCAAGCACTTTTGGATTACACCAGGCTTAGCTTACCAAAATTCCCTGTGCACCTCAAGAGTCTGCATCATGCTCACATGATACATTTTAAATTTTACAGGAGACAATTGTGAAAATACAGACTACTGAAAACATGCCTGTTGATGGTGACTAATGATTGTAGGGTTGGTTTTTTTCCTCTTTCCCCACCCCTCCCCTAAAACTGCTTGAAGTGCATACACAACCTTGAGAGAAATTCTAAACTATAAACCAGTTGAGATTGTTAAAGGAAAACTTAGTCCAATTTCCATCAACAAGGATGTGAATGCTAATTCTTTTACGTCTTTGAAAACACACTATACCAGAATCCCATGCAGCTCCAACCACTGTCCTCAAAAAGCAATAAAGCAGCAAAGTCCATTTCCAATACAGTAACTGGGCAGGGTACTAAAGCACTTATCAGACCCTCACCAGATCTGCAGGTCCTAACTCCTGCAACTAGTCACGCACTAAGAATTTTGAGAGTAGTAAGATGAATCTATTCTGACCTTACTGATACCCAGCTCACAGATGTATTTCCACACCTCATGGGATGAGGCAAATGAGCTGTTCCTCTGTATCATGGGATTCTGTTTGCTCTCTCGAGCTGCCTCTGCCTGAGAAAAAAAAGCAAAGATGAGTTATAGTCAGTACTCACTGCCAAGAGCCTTCCTCATGGTTCAGTTTCAGGCAGACTGAAGCACAAAAGTTGATTTCCAGACCATTTATGGGACACGTTTTTTATTTAGCACTTAAAGCTATGTCTTTAAGACCAATGTATGTGAGACAATGCAGTGTACAACCAAACATAATTTTACACTAAATATGACAAAATTTACACAGTGATTTAGATTAATATGAAGGAGTATCAGCATTTGGCGTTTTTTTGATACAAAAGAAGTTTCTGCTGTACCTAGTGCCAGTTAAAATACATTTTAATGGAATAAGATAAATGCTGCAACCTGCACAGGACTTATTTAGTGGAGAGCAGGCTTCTCCTGCAGTACTACTAGGGAAAATTGTCTTCTAGGCAGAACTGACTGACTTGTGCCTTCCACCCTCTCAGAAATTAGGAGCTCTGCAGGGAAAACAGTGACTTTTGCTAGGTTTCTTGGTCCTGTGTTCTTTCCTGCCTAGCTTGTCACTGGACCTTGGAGACAGAAGGCTTCACTTCCTGTGCAGTGTGTGAAAATATGCATTACTAAAATACAACACCATCACACTTGCTATGACAAACACAATCCAGTACAGAGTTCCCAATCCAGTTATAATAATGATCAACACTTACAGAAAATGCTATGGAAAACTTAAGCCTTGCCTGTGGTTTCAAAAAGAAAAGAATTACTTGCACAAAACAAATGGAAGGTGATTTTCATAGTGGCACGCACCTTACTCTGCAGAAATTTGAAACACTGTTGATTTAACACCTCCACAAATTCAGACTCAAAGTCTTGGTCACTGTACCAAGCCCCACCAGTCACTGACCGGTCAGGCTGCAGGTTATATAGCATATACACCTTCTTCTTGGATGCCTGTTAGAGAAAAGTGCACAGCTTTTGACAGATGAAAAGGCTTCCTTAAGAAAGGAAGATTTCAGAAGATACCTGCAAAATAGGTAGTTCATTAACTTCTAAAACCTGAGGCACAGAAATCCAGCTGACTCAAGCTATCCTTAACATGTTTGACTCTCAGGTAACATGGAGATAAAGAGAAGATAAAAATATTTAGACTCCTAATCATTTTATAACAGTGTTAGAAGAGACAATCCTAAGAACACACTTGCAATACAAACCTAACTGAAGAAGATCTGAGAGTTTAATTTTAGTTTATTGACCCTAATCCCCCTCCAAAGTCAAAGGAGGGCAGGAAAGTGTCTTTAGAAGACAGCAAAGACAAACTTAACAGAGACACCATCAACTGTTTCTGCAGGATTCAACCCATGTGCTGATCACAGGACGACTGTTACATGATGAAACCCTGCAGCTAAGGTTAGCCCTTGCAAGTCCACTCCTTATTACCACACCTGGATGGGGTGAATGGGAATGGTGCTTCAGTCCTGATATTAGCAGTCAGACAGTTAAAGGACAATTGTAGTCTAAAGGACTACTCAGCAACCACTGCAGCAATTCTAGCAGCATTACATCCCCTGTGTGACTAGATGAAGCCAGCATCTCTCACAAGAACATGAAAAAACCTACTCCTTCTCTATGTCCAACTTCTTTATCTCCATTTTATTTTTATTTAGGAAGTTAACCTCACGTCTCACTCCTCCCTCCCCCCCCAAAAATGTTGACACACAAGTCAAGGTATTGCCTCCATGGTGCAGATGAGACTGGCACATAGAAAAGGCACACAACATAAAACATCCAAGAGTTCACAAACAAGTGGTCTTCCTGGTGTACCAAGGTCCAAAGAACATGCTAATACCAATGATTTGAAATCAAGCAGGTAAGGGAGAGCAGGATGCTGCATGAGCATTACAACACAGAAAAAGCATGGAAAACTATAAGCCCTACTCTGGTTCATGGACTGGCTGCACATAAGATGAGAAAGGACTTGATTAACTGGAACAAAGTAGAGGAACCAAGACTAAAACAGAATCAGATGCCTTAGAAATTGTTTGAACTAAACAATACAAACTCAGTATGAACCAGATAACTGAAGGGAGTTTCAGGATCTCCAGGGGAGAGGAACCTTGCAAGGCCACTTGCAGCTAAGGTAACTGTATCACTAGTCTCATATAAAAAAGGGCAAGATTGCTTCAATATCAGAAGTACCAAACTATGGTACAGCAACATTGGGACCAATGGAGAAAAAGTAATTATGGGCAGATTGCTTATTTGAGTGGAGAAAGGAGAAAAGGGTGGTAAAAAAGAGAGTTAAGAAAAGAAAAAAAAAAGGAGACTAAGGTATAAAAATGAGAGAACAAGAGAGGGTAGGATCTGCAGACATCAGGAGTGTGGATGAAGAGCAGAGAAGCCGACCTGAGGACTGGGTTAGGGAGCAATTAAGCAA